TCGCTTTCCCTTTAAAAACAGCATATTGTGAAATTACTGAAGGCCACATACAGCATACTATTGGAATGGGAGACGAAAGATGAAGAGGTAAAATCAGTTATGATTACAAAGTATTTGAAACGCAGCAAAGCGAACTGGACTCCTTGGCTGGCTTTGAATAAACATTCACAAACTTTTTATTGACAATAATCAGCTAAATAGTTTGAGGATCTATACAACTTTGTAACATGCAAAAAACAGCATTCTCAGAGAAATCAAAGACTGGAACTGAGAGAAGCCGGGGGGGTGGGGGTGGGTGGGTTTTGTGGGGGAGGGTGGGGGGAGGGAGGAAAAGTGGGGGGAAAATAAGGATGATATGTTTCTGGATAATATGTTTTGTTTTAATTTTGAATAAAAAAAATAAAAAAATAAAATAAAAACAGCATATCCAGCAAATCAAAGTAATACGCAAAGCTTCTGTCATGATTCTATCAATGCTGATGGATAAGGTACAGGAAATGAAATCAGATTAATTAATTGAGTTCAATTTCAATTGAAAAATTAAATGCACTGTCCAATGGCGAAAGCTCCACAAGCAAGGGGCAATGTGACAGATTGTAAATTAGTCCTCCTTGCAATCATTTAGATACCAGCTTTCCTAGTCATTGCAGTTATAAAGCAATGAAGTGCTAGCTGGGACCTTTTCACTGTGAATACTGGATTCCTCCCACAATCTGAAGGAAAGATGTTTGCACACACACACCCCAACTATATATGTCCATCCATGCTCAGGTCAAGGGAAGTAATAATACTGCTTTGTTTTGCCTTGGTTCAACCCCATCTGGAATACTGTGTCCAGTTCTTGGCACCACAATTTAAGAAGGATATTGATAAACTAGAACGGGTGCAGCGGAGGCTGGTCAAGATGATCAAGGGTCTGGAAGCCAAGCCTTATGAGGAATAGTTGAGGGAGTTGGGTATGTTTAGCCTGGGAAAGAGGAGACTGAGAGGAGATATGATAGCCATCTTCAAATATCTAAAAATATGTTACATGAAATATGAAGCAAGCTTGTTTTCTTCTGCTCCAGAGGGTAGGGCGTGTACTAATGGATTCAAGTTAAAAGAAATGAGATTCTGACTAAACATCAGGAAGAACTTTCTGACAGTAAGAGCTGTTCAACAGTGGAACAGACTCTCCTAGAAGGTGGTGGACTCTCTTTCCTTGGAGGTTTTTAAGCAGAAGTTGGATGGCCATCGGCCCTGAATGCTTTACTTGAGATTTCTGCATTGCAGGGGGTTGGACTAGATGACCCTTGGAGTCCATTTCAATTCTACAATTCTAAATTTCTATGATTCTATCACACTGCTCCAAATAAAGCCTCAGCTATACACTCCACACAACAGGATGCAACAAAAGTCAGACTGAGATTATTTCTAGGAGAAACCAAAGGTGGAAACTTCAGTAGAGAAGTGGGAGGGTGGAATCAGAAATGTTTAACCTTTTCTTAGCTGACTGCTTCTACATTCAAAATTGCCCCTCCCTCCAAGCTGCCTGCTTCTCACACATTTGGAAAAATAGTGTGAAGCGTGGCTAATGGGGAGGGTTATTCGTAATGGAGAAGCATGAAAAGGTTAAGCATCCCTCCCCATTCACTGCCTCTTCTCTGCTCCAAATCTTCCTCCTGAACTTGCTTTTTCCTAGGGCAAGATGCAATTGGGTTGTTGTTACAAGCATATTTCCATTCAAAGTGCAGATGGCAGTGTGGATCATGCTGCTGGTAGTATATACCCAGTGTGCTTGCACAAAGTGCAGTTCTTGATAGCTGAATCCTAGGGGCACCTCCACGGTCTCACATCCCCCACCTGTGCCACCGGAGCAGTGTGGAGAAGTGGTTGCAGTGGATTCTGGATTCCAGTAAGATCTCGTAAGATCCCTTCAAAACCGTCTGACAGCCTCCAGAGGCCCTGCACAATCTTGCCACAGCCTTACGACCCTAGTAAACAAAGTTTCAGTGGGGATGGCAAGGTGGGGTGGTGGCGGCGGCAATTGCGCAAGACAGCACCTTCCAGTTTTACCTCAGGGGAGACACTGCTAGCTTTAACTCATTGTGCAGTGATTTGCAATAGGGTGGCATCTCAGCTATGGAATTCCCTTCCGTCAGACCAGTTTTGGAGCTCCTCCCAATTCGCTTTGGACATTTTGACATTATGGTCCGTTGACACAAATTCAGAGGGGGAAAATGGGAGTGCATTCTAAGTGTGCTCCCAAATATTTCCTTTCCTCCTTTGTAGCCCAGATTGAACTCCATCTGGGCTGCAAAGGAAGACTTCTGCCGAAAGCAGCAATCCCCACTCTGGGCAGGGATTGGCTGCATTCTAGAGATCTCAATGGGGAATTTAAACTGTTGATGCACAGGAACATTGTTCCTTTTCAGGTGCGGCTCAAGCTGTGCCTGCAAAGGGAGATCCTTTGTATCAAAGGAATTCTTTGATTTGAAGGAATAATCCAGAGTACAATGTAAATGCATTCCTGGTTCTTCATTTGCACCAAAATACTAACGTCTTTTGAATTTTATGTATTCTTTTGATTGCTTGGCAGGAAAAGGTGGCTGTGATTTGCCCAAAGCAGCCTGGCAGGCCACTCTCTAAGGTCTACAGGGCAGAAGTTCCCTCTGCCAGCCTGTTGGGTGTCTGATATGTTTTGACCAGTTATTGCTGTATGTTCTGGTTTGATATTAATCTGGTTTTAATTGCTGTATTTTGTTTTTATCTGTTTTAATGTATAATCGGCTGTATTTGTTAGCTTCTGCCTAGCGGGACATCTTCAGGAGAATAAAAGGCTAAGGAACATACTCTACACAAATCAGGAGTGGAGTCCCTAAGACAGTTGGATGGTGTCTTGTAGACAGTTGGATGGTGTCTCATTCTGGCAACTCCCACAGCTAAGCTGGTGCCAAATGTATTCCTTTCCTTTCCTTTGGACCACATTGGCAAGGCTGGGAGGGTGTGTATTGTCATCTGGGCAGCCCAGGACCTCCGTGCACACTGCCCAGGATTGTGCCCTGGAGAGGTCACTTAATGCAGCAAAAACAATGCAGGAAGCAGCAGTTATGAGTTACTAGTCTCTACAACCATAACAGGCACAATGATTCTCGAGTGGGTTGACTTTGCCCCCAGAGGTGCACCCATTGTCTCTTGAGACAGATGGATGCCAGTAACAACAAAAAAAGCTGTATTCGTAGTTCACCATGATATCACACAAGGCATGGTAGGAATCGTGTGTGTGTGTGTGTGTGTGTGTGGAGTGAGAATTCCCTCTGTAGTTCTCAGCATGTGCTCCCAAAATACTACCACCAGCTTTAGGGTGGTATTAAACAATTGTCAAGATCTCCCATTCATTTCATCACCCCACTTCTGGAACATATAACATACAAAGGAGGTTGCAAAGTGGTTGCTTGCCTCCTTCGCACTCCCTTGAGTCCTTCTGACACAACTGCTTCATCATTGTTGCTTATGCCCTTGCTCCGCCAGCAATTGGCGTTAATTTTGTTCTAAGTACAGTTCATCTTCTATCTCTACCTTCGAGCCTTATAGGCAATCTATTGTAATTGTAGCTTTTATATCATCTTGAGGATGCCCTTCACCTTGGTTTTACCCATATTTCTTTGTTCATCTTGTTTTCCCATGTGATACCAACTTAATATCTTTCCAGCATTGCTCTGCAGTTCAAAGCTTGTGCTCTTTCTTATCTTTCAAAAAGGAGAAGAAAAAAGGGAAAGGAAAAAGGACGCTTAATCTGTCTCCAGTTTTTGTACAAGATTGACACATTCAGGTCCAGAATGCCTTCTTAAAACAAGGACAGGAAATATATAACTATAGAAATATTGCCCCACTATGAACTACAGTATGAGTAGGCAACAGTTTACAGGCCACAAGCTGACTGCTTATTTCGAGTTTTCCTCGAAACTTCAGGTAACTTCCCAGGAAACTGTGGCCTTTGCTGCAGTTTACTTTCTAGCTGGCTATTTCAGTGTCTTACACTGGAAGGTAAAGGAAGTAAAACAGAGAGGAAATTGTGTGTGTGGCTGCTAGGAAACTGCAAGCATCTCCTGGTCTTCCCACCATAGGTTGCAATTCAGTCAGTCAATGTGTGTTTCTTCAATGGTTCCATTTCAACTGTATTCACTTCTGAAGGCAGAGAAAACTGCCTTATGCCAGGCCATACTATCTAGCACAGTACTGTCTACTTGGGCTGGTTGCAGTTGAGGGCAGAGGAGGGAACTCAGGCAAATGTATTTCAAAGAATCTGCTACCTCATTCTTTTAACAAGAGGTACAGTATTTGTAATTCAACCAGATACCTTTGGTACACAAAACACACCTGTATCACTTACTTATGGTCCTTCCTTTCCTTATGTGGTGCACATCAGTGGTGCAACTGGCTCTAGGAAAAAAGTTAAGGAACCCTCCCAATTTTTGCCTGCATTTCATTTTTGCATGCATACAGCGTTTCACTAGAATATAGCCTGCAAGGAGACATAGAGACACACTTGTGTTATTGTGCAGGAGCAACACACACAGTTCCCAGCATTTGCTCCAATCCAGTAAAAAGTTACTTATAGACAGTGCTTTTTTCTTTAAAAATGTTTAGGGGTACTCTCATTTTCCTACTCATATTGAAATACTGCCTCTCAATGAGGCCAAACTTAGATTCACAAAATGTTTAGGGGTATGCGTCCCCCCCCCCCCGAAAAAAGCACTGCTTATAGAAGCTGTGGCATTCAGGCCCTGCAATTCAAATTTGAACCCAGGACATCCATGTCTAAGTCCACTGTTCAACACACAGGACCAATTTAACTCCTTATCATTGCATTTAGTTCAAAGATTTACTCTTCCCATTGTTCACTTTGCCCCTCTCCCCCTCACTCCATATTACTTGTTAAGTCACAGTGTCAAGGAGGTCAGGGACAAAATCAAGGCCAGCTTATTTGCATTCACCAAATGTCACCACACAACCTTCCATTCAAAAGCAAGTGTTTATATATAATAGCAAAACTTTGGTATAATATGAATACAGTCAATATCTTAACATGAGAAACAACAATTTATGTTTAAGATAAAAGGAGCCTAAGATCAAAGGAATGCATAATAGTTACAAATGTAAGAAAAGTGTTATAGTTTTCATCTTTGGGAGAACCTATGGCTGGCTAAGCAAGTGCATTGTGTAGTTGAAATGCAGCTGAACACAGTTCACATTTTTATCATATTATAGATAAGACATAGGCTATAGCCTTGACCAGATTATTTACAAGGAATGTGACAGAGAAGATTGAAGGGCCTGTCATCCTTGCACTGTATACTGCACATTGTCCTTCCATCAAGCTGAGATCTCATGAATGAATTCGTATTATGCAGTCTAAAAAGAAAAATATATTTGATTAGAATCAGCCGGCTAAAATTAGCCACTGAATTAAACAAGTCCATATAACACATTTGCCTTCATGAATCGAAAAGCCAAGCAACACACTTATGGAATATCTTGGTATCACTGATACATGCAATGAGACTTCTTTAATATATTATTATATATTATATTTAATATATAACACACTATATACATATATAATGTACATATATACCAACCCAGGATATGGCATTAACAGGTCCCATTAGTCCCCAGGGTTGGACTACCTGAATTGGTCCCCTGATCCATTGCATTCTGTTTCTTATATCAGAGGTGGGAGAGACCTGGCAGCCTTTCGATGTTTCTAAAGTTCAGGATTGTATGTTAAACTTACGTAGATGTACCTGTCCATTCCACCAATGGGTGATAGTAAATGTGATAGACAGGCCATGTCAAGACACACCTTTATTTCACAATTGCCAACGCAGATGGAGAAGCTACATGCAATAATCAGCCTGTATCCAGAGAGGAGTAAGAATGTGAACTTTCATCTGAATACCTGCCCTGATTTTGTTATAGAAAGGCAGGGTATAAGTGCTAAAATTAATAATAAAGCACTGGGTGATCAGTCAATGCAGCATTGGCTGACGGCACAGAATGATGTGCATCTGGATGTGCTGCACACATTCGTGTCTGCAGGTTGGCCCAGCCATGCAGCTTGACATCTAGTACAAATTTATGAGCATGCAGGAATGTGGCTGCCCTTTTTTCCTTGGTAGCAACAGCAACATTCAAATGTTTTAAACATGCTCTTATTTTATATTTAATTGTATTGTTTTAGCACTTCCGTGTTTTCCGCTGCAATGGGAGGAAGGGCAGGATAGAAATGTGATACACAGACACACACACACATACACAAAATGTAGCAAGCTTTTGAGTTATCCAGAATTCTTCATCCTGCAAGATGTTTCACAAGTTAGGGGTAATTTTTTTTAAAGAGTGTTTTTATACAAAAGCACTTAAAAAAAACCCAACAGCAAAATATTGGCAGATGTTAGCATGTGGAAGGAGAACAAATATTGGCAGTCACACCGACTCCTGCTGTTTCATGTAGGAAGGATATGCTGAGCCTTCCCGAAACTGATTACTGTATATGGTGAAACTGAACCAGCTTACTTAATTGCTTTGTTTCCTGTTCAGCTCAGTGATCTGCATGCTATGACAGAAGTTTAAAAGATACTCACCTCATTGCCTCACTAGATAGTTGGGCACAATGAATCAGATGCTTAATTACGTGGCCAGCCTGGACAAGGATAGTCTCAACACTATATTACCACACTACGGAAGTAATGTAATTCGGGCTTCGTTAACATTTATTTAAAAGGATAAGCCATTCTATATATTAGGTCCATAGTCAGTTGGCACCTTTTTGAACCTTTTCCCTGTCTACTTCTTCAACAACAGAAAGGTTGCCCCCAAATAATAAAATTTGTACATTTAAACAATGACAGGAGATTTGCTTGAAGAGACAGAGTCAGATTAATTGTTGTGACTATCAGAGTTGATTAGGTTGCAGAAGCAATTAGAAGTATATTAAGTGAAGGAGCTGTTTTTCTGGACTGAAGCCAAACAATGCTAGGGGTTTAGTTGCTTGATGATTATTTTATGAATATAAAGGTCAGAGCTCTGGGTGTATTAATAATCCATGTTATTGTTGGTTTAGGGGAAAGTAATTTTCATAACAAATGTGCTCTGAATGCATTGCAACATTGCTATTGTAGAAAAGTAGACAGAAGTGGTGAACTTCAGCTGTTTCCCATCTTGATTTTCAACACCGTGCATACATTTGAAATCTAGTTCCAACGTTATTGTATAAGACACAGTGTCAGCGTCAGTAAATAAATGTTTAAGATAAGATGCTTGAGAGCAGCGTCAGTCTCTTTCTGCATTGCTGTGCTCACTCCCAGGGACAAAATGCTTACCCAGGTTGGGAGGATATCACTAGTGACTAATGGCATTTTGAAATATTTATTTACAAATATGTAGGTTGAACATACGTAGAAATGAAGCTTAAACACACAAAGACACAGTCAAAGACACATTCCTATGTCAGATCACCAAAGTAGCCAGCTCTCCTAGAAGACTTCTTTTTTTTGTCTTACTCAAAAAACTCCTAATTGCAGTCTGTCCCCCTTTGTTCCTTTTTAAAGACACACACTCAGGCTTTTTGGTTCCTTCCCACAGATGCACACGTAGGGACTTAGATTGCATCATCCTTAACTGTGGACACCCTACAAAATTCTCTTTTCAGTTCTTACAATGCACTTCATTCCAGTGTGGTTATGTAGAGAGAAAAAATCCAACAATTAGCTGTCATGAAGACGCATCATCTCAGTGAATATCCTAGACTGTTACCATTATTTATGCAGTACAAGGCTCTGGCCGTGTTGCCTTAAGGCTAGGATCTGCAATGTGGTGCCTAGGTGTCAAATCATCACCAGAGACGCCTGCCATGGTGGCTACTAAGCTATCCCCCTGCCTCAGATGGTATATTTTTAAAAACCAACACAAACCCTCTCTGTGCTATTCTTCTGACTGCTTGCTGTTAACTTGCTGGAGAGCAGATGGGAAGAGGACACAAAAGAGGAGAGCCAGAGTCATGCAGGGAGGACAGGAAATGAGGTGGATGGTGCCTTAGAGAGGGACAGATGGTGCCACGGCCAGAGGGCAGAACTGGGGCAGGAAAAGCAAAAAAGAAAAAAGAAAAAGTGCCATGAGGACTGAAATAAAAGAGGCTGAGGTCATGGGGGAGGAGAAGAGGTGGTGCTACATGAGGTGTGTGTGTGAGAGAGAGAGGGATGGGGTGGGGGCAGGGAGGTTGTTAAGGGAATTATCTTGAAATAAAGATGAGGGAGTTCATTTAGATGTGATTTATTGGAATTAACTGGCTTGCTTTCTCAGTATTCTGTTGGAAAAAAATGATGGTTTTACACTGTTGGGTTCACACCCCACCTGTGCCTTGCACTCAGTTTCTTGGGCATGATACTTGTCCTTTGTGACTAGCCATGCCCCCTTGGAGGGACGCGGGTGGCGCTGTGGGTTAAACCACAGAGCCTAGGACTTGCCGACCAGAAAGTCGGCGGTTCGAATCCCCGCGACGGGGTAAGCTCCCATTGCTTGGTCCCTGCTCCTGCCAACCTAGCAGTTCAAAATCGTGTCAAAGTGCAAGTAGATAAATAGGTACCGCTCTGGCGGGAAGGTAAACAGTGTTTCTATGCGCTGCTCTGGTTCGCCAGAAGCGGCTTAGTCATACTGGCCACATGACCCGGAAGCTGTACATCAGCTCCCTCGGGCAATAAAGCGAGATGAGCGCCGCAACCCCAGAGTCGGTCACGACTGGACCTAATAGTCAGGGGTCCCTTTACCTTTACCTTTATGCCCCCTTGGCAGCCATTTGGTGCCCACAATTTAAAATGTCTCCACCAACCCCAAAAGGTCTGAGAGCCGCTGCTATGGGAGATGTTGTCATGGCATTAACAATAACATTCTGTACGTGGGAGGGCGGGAACTTTAATATATCCCTAAAGCCACAGATTAGGTGCTCAAGACTCTCTAATATAGACTTGCTGAAAAATATCCAGCAGCTACCTTCCTCATATTTATAATGTTCTGGTCTTTTTGTGGAACAGCCCATATGGCAAGGGGGCAAGGCAGGTTGGTTGATGCAAACAAAAAGTTCCTGCAAGGTCTTTGAAATGGAATTTTTTTAGCAGTTTGGAAAGAAACAACTAAGCTCTTGACAAATAAGCACTTCAGCCAAAATAGTTTGGGCAGATTTAATAATAATAATCAATCCTTTTTAGCAACTTTGGAATACACTTCTTTTTGTTGTTGTTCACATCATTGGATAATTCCTGTTTTTGGCGTGTTTCCTTAAGGGTTGGTTGCTGCAGCACCAACAAGGGTTGGTGGACCTTGTGCCTTTTGTGCGCTTGCTTCCTGTCACAGAATAACAGAGAGTTGGAAGGGACCCATAGGATGCCTGCAATGCACGTATATGCAGTTGGCCCATACGGGGATCAAACCACAGCCTTGGCATTATCAGCACCACGCTCTAACCACCTCTCCTATTCTCCACCTGCTTTGTTAGAGAATTGAAGAAGTCTTCTCCAACCTGGTGCCCACCTCCAGACCTTTTAGACTGCAACTGTTACCATTCCTGATCATTGGCTATGCTTGCTGGGGGAAAACATGATTACTTTAATTCACCTTGTGCTCATTAAAGTTGCAAGAGATACATAAATATGGAAACAATTAAATGAATAATCTTATAAAACACAACACAGTGGTACCTTGGGTTACAAACTTAATTTGTTACGGAGGTCTGTTCTTAACCTGAAACCATTCTTAACCTGAGGTAGCACTTTAGCTAATGGGGCCCCCTGCTGCCACCGTGCAATTTCTCTTCTCATCCTGAGGTAAAATTCTTAACCCGAGGTACTACTTCCGGGTTAGCGGAGTCTATAACCCGAAGTGTTTGTAACCCAAGGTACAACTGTAGTTTGTGGGAATATAATTTCTGAGGACAAAATTTTGCAGAATTTCAGCTGCTGAATTAAATAGCACAGTTTCCTACAGTCTGATGATTCTGGATGCACTATTATTTCTCTGTTAGAGAAATTAAAATATATGAAATGAGAACATTAGAATACATAATGAAAGCCACATTCTCTGACCATTTCCCACATTTTCCACAGTGGTACTTCCAGTATCAAAATAAAAGATTGGGGAACTTTTATCATACAAACAACTGACTGCCCAAGACAAATGAATAGCAAAGTTACTGCAAAGTTCTGAGGATCACAACATTTTCTTGATTGTATTGTGGATAAAAATAATATAGCTCATGTGAGGGATGGAATATCTGAATGTCTTCTTTCAAAACCTATCTAACAGGAGAATTGCTAGCAGGTTTCCTGCAGGCATCTGGTTGGCCGCTCTGAGAACAGGATACTGGACTAGATGGGCTACTGGCCTGATCCAGCAGGATCTTCTTATGTAGGGTAAGGTCATCATGTGCATGGATGGCAGAATGATTATTTAATCTATCAAATTCTGGATTTTTGTGCAAGATCAATTGGTGCCTGGAGGTGCTTATCAGTTTAAATAGGTTTATGCTATGACAGAAATATACAAACGAAGGCAAGAAGAGATAAGAAATTGTAGTAAGCTTTTTAATTAGTATTCTTTAAAAAAACCAACTACTATGCAGGGGTGTAGGAGTAGTTGAGAGATTACAGATTCAGCCACACAGACTGGATGACTCTGAACCCTCTGATAAAATTAGAAAAGATACTTTCATTTCCCAAGTCAACATCACATAGAAGTCAGAGAAAACCCAAAACCAATGGTGTAAACATATTTGCTCAGTTTTCCCTCCTAGCCAGAAAGGAAACTATAGGAAGCAATAAGTGCTTTGCATTCATTTTTCTTCGCAATCTGCTTAGTAAACACAAAAATCTATTTTTATCTTTTCCTTAATCCCACCGCAATGATAAGCAGGGCACTGCAATTAATTAAGAACTGTGGCAAAGCTTCAGTCAGGGAAAACGAGCCATGTATAATTTGTGTTGAAATCAAGGGAAGAAATTAATTGAAACAATTGTTGTGCAGCTTGTTGTAACCAGAGCTTTTTTCTGGGGATACTCAAGGGTATGCAGTACCAACATATTTTTTTCTAGAAGAAAAGCACTGGTTAAAAGTATGACACTTATTGTAACAACTTCATGGTGAGTACTGGCACCTTTTTTTCACAAGAAAAACACTGGTTGTAATGAAAAGAAGATGCCGCAGGATTCTTAGAGTCTCCCTTCCCTCACAATAGATCCACTTTGATCTCTCAAATTATATAATTATGAGGGATGTACTGCTCCAGTGCAGGCTGATTCTATGCACTTTTACTCTGATCCTATGCACTTTTACACTGGGCTTAGGTAAAGGTAAAGGACACCTGACAGTTAAGTCCAGTCATGAACGACTCTGGGGTTGCTCATCTCACTTTACTGGCCAAGAGAGCCGGCGTACAGCTTCCGGGTCATGTGGCTAGCATGACTAAGCCGCTTCTGGAGAACCAGAGCAGCACACGGAAACGCCGTTTACCTTCCCGCCGGAGTGGTGCCTATTTATTTACTTGCACTTTGACGTGCTTTCGAACTGCTAGGTTGGCAGTAGCAGGGACCAAGCAATGGGAGCTCACCCCGTCACAGGGATTCAAACCGCCGACCTTCTGATTGGCAAGTCCTAGGCTCAGTAGTTTAGACCACAGCACCACTGGCTTAATGGGGCTTATTTCCTAGTAAGCGGGGCTGCAATATAAAAAGAGATGCTGTGCTTTGGGAGCATTCATGTCAGAAGGAGCAACTCCTCTCCAGTGGTGATCACAAGGGAAACTGGTTCTACAGATTTATTAGAAAAACTGCTTGCATGCAGCACTGATTGGCTGGCGACTGCCTGTTTGATCACATGGTCCTCTTTCCTTCATTGAACAGTTTTAATAACTTAAAAATTTTTTTTTTAAAAAAAATGGACCAAAGTATTTTTGATTGCTTAACTCTAAAAACAATGCTTAAAAAATGTAAAGGCAGATGAGCTGTCAAGCCAGAGAAGAGAACTCGTTTCAAAGGTGTGGTTGAAGGAAGACAGGCTCTGCCTGTGGTGCAAAGTACTATTGCAACTCCTGTTTTGATCTGCTTTGTTCACTTGCACCCTTTGGGTCAAATTAGATGTGATCCTCATTGCACATTTATTTATGTATTTTTAATGTAAAGAGCTGCAGGTGTGCTAAAGCAACAGTGGAACCACAGGGGATGCAAGACTCTCATTCTCCCTTCTTCTGCTGAGGTGATGGCAAAAGCTGTCTTCTGAAGCTGCTGTTCATAGCAGGAAGGAATCCCCCAGTTGATGCTTCAGGGAAGTGATTTTCAACAGAGCCACAGAGGAGGCGAAAGGGTGAAATTCTCCCTTTCCCATCTCCTACAGTCCTACTGCTACTTGGGCCGCTCAGTAGCTTTTTGTTTTTTTAAAACAGCATGTTCATAGCATTCATGTCAACATGTGTTAAAATGCATTCATGCAATCAATGCCCCACCTAGTTTGGCCTTTAGTCTTTAGGTCCTTGAAGAGATGTTATTCGCCATTTTTGCATGTCATGATAAACCATGGGTCTCAGGGTGGAATTCGACGTTGCAACATTACAAACTTGCCAGCTTGCCAGATCGAATGATCTCCCCTTCCGTTCCCCTGCATGGTGTTCTGGGGGTTCCCCCAAGCTTTTGAGCCAATTTAGGGAGGGAGGAGAGAAGGGAGAAAACACCACTGCAAAAGCAAAATCTCTTGTGCAGTGCTTCCGCAAACAGGGTATGTTACGTGAATCCCAGCCTCAATCTTGCATGCTTTCTCTCTCCCACCTCTCCCCTTTAATGCACCTCTTTGAGCACTTCAACAGCTTTTATTTTCAGTTTCCCTTAAAGTTGGCTTGTGTTGTCCACCCCAGGAATCATAGCTCCTTTCTACTGTGCATATCTTGTGAAACCATGGATTAGCATGATGTTCAAACAGAGCTGCAGTGTTTCTCTTTCAATAGGCTTCTGAAAAGGCTGAATGGGGATTTCAACTCTGCTGTTTAAACCACGACTCCGCTGCTAGTGCAGCTGTTACACGCACTCATCATTTTCCAATAGAGTTGAATACTGTACTTGAAGAACTGAGCTACCGAGTGTATGAATCACAGTATCCTTAACCAACTTGCTATATGAAGCCAAGTAAGCTAAAGGAGTGCTGACTTTTCTCTACATCTTCACTGGTAAAACAAGTTTTACCCTTTCTCTTGCCTGGGTCCTTATAGTAATTTGGATAAATAAACTAGGCCACGCACCCTGACTCAATAGATAAGCCTTTCAAGTATGATACGCTAGAAAAAGATAATGAATCCATGTAACACTCATGTAGATGTGTAGTGATTAGACCAGCATTCCTCAACCTGGTGTCTTCCAGATGTTTTGGACTATAAATCCCATCAGGCCAAGGGTGTCGGATAGGAATAGGGTTCAAATCCCTACACAGTCACAAAGCTTATTTGTTAACTTAAGTCGCCCTCTCTCTCAGCCTAACCTATGATACTGACACAGATTTGTTTTGAGGATAAAAAGAAGAAACATGTACGGCTACCTAAGCTTTGTGGAGGAAGGGTATATGAAATGTAATAAATAACTAGAGCAAATGACTCTATCTCAAGCTAATTTATGATATGTTGTCATCAAAGTTTTGTTCTTAGCATGCTAGCAAAACAGTTATATTATACATGTTCAAAGAAAATATTACACTGTTGCTGCCGGATAGTTTGCCTTAAAAAAAGAAAAGATTTTTTGTCATTTCCTTCTACACATGGGAAATAAAAAAAGAAATACTGAATTTAAGGTCACCAACAGCAGACACCACCTGATGTTACAGCCATACTAATTTACTAT